TGTATGATTCATTGTGTGTCGTAATGCAGAGAGATGAAGAAACAAAGGAACAAATATTCCTTTTTTTTTGCGTCTATCAGTAGGCACTACGAGCAAATATGTGTTTGATAACCACAAGGTGAAGTTGACATTCTATATTCTGCATATAATAAAATATTCATTTCACTTTCGAAAGATTCTTAACAACTCCATCGTTTCAAAGTAAGAAATGAAAATAGAATTAAAATAAGGAAATTTAGTTGAAGGTTGGTACAAAAATCAAGATTCATCATGGGATAATAGAGGATGTTTTCTTTTAGCCCACTCACAGAGCGAAACGATAACCGGTAATGCAAACAATCGATCCAGTCCTGCCGAGTACTCGTTACAAGATGATATAGACTTGTCGAGCTTTTGCATGTTTTTTTCGCGTATCAGACCATTTGTACTGATGCCAATGACTATTTCCACGGGGGAGCATGCATTATTAGAATATTTCTATTAGGCTAATATTCATCAAAATACGTTTCATATATACGTTATCAAGTCAGTGCAGTTTCAAGATAGATTATTATCGAAGCAAAATGAGTCATTATTAGTCATTGCAATTCGTCATCTATTTATTTTCATTTCTTATTATCTATAATAGATCTTTTGCAGAGGTATAACACATAATCAAGGAAATAGTTTGCGAGAAACAGAGAACATATATAGTGGATTTGTAATCTCCATGTCTGATGAATATTTCATTAGTGTTCAAAGTTAACATAGACTTTGTTGTTCTATGGAACTCTCTATCGATCAATTGATGCCAAGCGAGATCATTTTTTCTCTCTATGGGTTTCCATCGATGGACACAAGTTTACATAGGACTAGAAAGTCTATATTTCCTTCGTATACTTATGAAATGGTCGTCAGACATAGCGATTATGAATCAAAAATATATGTGCTCTGTTAATGATAGAAAATCTCCAGCTTCTACAAACTAGTATAAGTATGATCACATAGAATTGAAGAATATTCACATAGATTTTTTTTTCTCGAACTTCACAGATAACGAATACTTAAATGTGTGTAGTTGCATATTGATTCTTCTTTTCAGAAGAGTGTAAAGTGGTTGCGAGCGACGAAACAGCGATTGGAACTGGTGAATCTATCTGTTCACTACTGTAATCATACAAAAAAACTTGTTCCTGAATATCATTTCGAGAGAGAAATAAGAAAATAAAAGACTATATTTTACACTAACATATCTGTAAAATATGGAAGACACGATTCAAAACGACAGACTCTCAGAGCGTGCGAGCAATAGTGTGACTGCGCCAGTTCTTCGCACGATCGTTACTCTGTGTGATGATGATCTTAGTGAAGAAGCCAAATCAAAATTCGATTATCACAATGAGATCTTACATGCGTTCCAATTGTATGCTCGTGTAGTACTCGCCAACGAACGGCTCTTACCGATCGGTCGCCATCTGTTCTGCATGAAGCTGGAGCAGAATTACGCAAACTGCAAGCGTGTGCTCAACTATGTTGCTGCTCACCCGGAACTGACAATGACAGTCAATTCTATGCCGCCTCCTATTGTCGTGTGCGGACTGGCCCGTACCGGCACAACACTTCTATATAATTTGCTTGCCTGTGATCCCGCATGTCGTGCTCCATTATTCACCGACATGGCGCAATCAATCCCACCGATCGCTCGTTCGGATCCTGCTCACCAGACTCGATGGAATGCTATCACAAGCACGTTAACTGAGATGGCTAACGCGTTGAAGTTGACCGATTACGGACGGCAGTTTCACGCCTCTCATCCCTTTCATAAGCACGAAGCAGATCTAATGATTCTGGGACAAACTGGTATCAGTGTCCTTGATTTGGCGCTCGCACCATATGATAATACAGAACTTGAAACATGGTTTTTCAATGATACCAACAAAGATTTTGTTTATGGGTATCACAAGACATTTCTACAAATGTTAAATAGCATTGATGCACCTCGATCTCATTGGCTATTGAAAACTGCAGTTCATACGTTTTTCCTTGATGCACTCTTACGCTATTATCCTTCGACATCACTGATCATGATTCATCGCCGACTGGATGAGGTAGTGCCATCGAATGCTCGCTTGAATGACGTGTTTAGCAGTGCATATCTTGATAATGAAAATATGAGTGAGATGACAAATAGGTTCGCGTTTGTGGAGCGTCGCTTGCAAATGACGGATGTTGCGACTCAACGTCTCATTAAATTCCGTCGTACTCATCAAGATGTTCCTGTTTTTGATGTCATCTATGACGACTTAATGGCACAACCGATCGATACCGTTCGTCGCATCTACGAACATTTCGGACTCCAATGGTCGGAGGACTTCAGATTAGCAATGGTCGAATGGCTTCGTGAAAATCCGCAGGGTAAGCAAGGGCGCAATACATATACACTTGAAGAATTTGGTTTCACGCGGGAATCAATTGGCCAGCGCTATAAAGAGTATAACAGCATGTTTCTCAAACCTTGAGAGCCATCGAAGACTAACCGTTATGTGAAGACATCTCAACTGAGGAACATTGATACTGTGACTGTTTTATTATAGAGAATACTGAATGATCGACTCGGGCTTGGACCGATTAAAGCTAATATTATTCATATATTCATATTTTTAGATAGAATGTGCCAGGAAAGCTTGAATTCTTACAGTGAACTTATCTTATTGAGAAATTTGATACTACAAAGTTTAAGTCAAAACTTGAAAGTCAATTTTCTAGGTGGTCTGACGTGGATCAGATCATTTTCTTGAAGAAAATTAATAAAACTTGAATAGCTCAAGAATGAAAGCCTTGAAAACCAAATCATTTTAGATATTGTTATTACTCACTACTACCCATCGAATGAATACAATGTCGCTCCACAACTGATTTCATACCCGGGAGAAATCACTTCGTCAGTGCTAAAACCTCATCTTACAACTGGTCCGTTAAGTTCCATTGACTTTGTGTACATAAGATACAGGTTGGGCGCTGATCTGTCGTTTATCTGGATTTCATTCGCTGCATCTTCATATGAGTACATAGACAGTTGAGCTTTCACACAAGTCTCTCAAAATTTGATCTTCTCTCATTTTAGCTACTGATAGTAGAGCCATGCGCCATCTGAGTCTTCAATATTTGAGTCTGCTACAAATAGGCCTTATTAAACGAGTATAATTTGCATGTAAACTATATAGAATGTAGATGCATGTGTTCTTTGCATCCTCACTTACCCATACTCACATCCTTTGGAATGGGTAGCTCGAAATGTGTTCGTGTGTTGGCATACAAAACATTCAGATCGTTCGGTAAGTTTTTTTGATCGGTTTGCTTTGGCCCACGTCAAATATCTTACAAATACGTGAGTGTGCGTGGTTATACGCGTGTAAACAAATTCATTCCATTGCATATGATCTCTCTTAGATATAGGGCAGTTATACTTGCTAATTCAGTTTCAGTTCGCCTGAATGTAGATTATGAGTTATTTTCTTAGGAAGCTGTAAAAACCTACTATTGGCAATCAAGATAGTGCGCCATTCTTTGATGACTGATCAAATCATATATATCATGCGTAGCACGCATTGCTTTTCCGCTATGAACGTTTCTGCTGCCGTGAACTGCCAAAAACTCTTGATGTCGGTTATGAGTGTAGATGTGGATGAAAAAAGTACTGATCCACGCACATCCACACCCATCCTAAAATAGTGACACTGACGCATTTTGGTTATTTTCAGACTGGTAGTACAAATAGGAATGTACATCGGTTGATTGAAATGCTGAAGAAAAACTTAAATATGAGTTGTGTAGGGGTATTCAAGAGTGAAAATAGGGATCAAGACGTTCAATTCCTCAACAGCACGCTGGTTCATTCCAATATAAGCGGGTGTGGAGAGCAATCTTCTACACACATCCACAGCACCATCTATACTTCACACCCACACTCGATAATAGAAGACGAATTCAAATAGAGCATTGAACAATCACCATTGTTTGAACTGCGATGTAGGCAACAAGCCACGTTTTCTCTTCAAGCCAAAATTTCGTACAAAACGAGACGAGGCGAGATTGATTGATTGTTGTTCGAAGACATAATAGGAGAATTCAAATTTATATTCGAAATGTTTGATGTGTTTCAACCATCGTGCCCAGACAAAACTGTCAGTCATATCAATATTTGCATTGTCAGCAATTACGACAAAATAGGTGAATTTTGGAAATGACGAGAGTAAAATTGCCATTTCTGTCCAAATGATTGCCCACATTGCGATTCGTAATTGTTGCAAATACAATAGACGAGGATGTGGTCTTCCTAATTTCAAATCTGTCTTCAACTGTGTGAAGTATTGATGCGACGGTAAGAAAATTCAATAAATCGATTGTTGGGAATTCTAAATAAAAATATTAAATAGAAGATAATATTGCTGAATTTTAAGGACGAATTTTTGAATCGCCATCGATAAAACTAGCCATTTTGGTAGAAAGACGTTCGAGTGACTGTAAAAGGAAGGGTAGTTCGCTCAGAGTAGCAGATGTCGTCGGTAAACATGCTAATGTATGAAAATAGGACAAACAAATGAAGAACGTCATAATGACTGATGGAAGCCAAGTTTTCAATAAACACCATGCTGTTGTAGATGAGTGTGGGTGTGAATGTTATGTTCTCCTGCACCCATACCCACCCACATCTCATTGTTCAATGTTATTTTATTGATTCTCAAAGAACTACCTCAACCATCAAATGTGAATATTTGGAATGAATTATCAGAAACGAAAGTCTTCAAACTATCGAATATATTTATGGTTTTCAATTGGAACTTTGGATTAGAAAATTACGCATTCTTATGCAATTCGTCCTACATGTTGGAATCTTTCAAGCTAACTTTGATCAATCATATCTACGAAAAAATGTATTGCTTTGTCTACCGTCGATTGTTACGGGAAATTACCAACGTAATGAAGGAAAGAAACTACCCTCTTTGATGAATGTACGCGAAAGCACATGAAAATAAACAGAAAGGAAGAAGACAATTGTTAATAATATTTGTCGTTTATTATTTGTTAATGTTATCAAAACTAATGGCACTTATAAGAGGATATTCATATTCCTAATCAATGCTGAGAATTTGCTTGACAACTATTTGATGAAACTTATTGATAATAAATTGTATGTATGGCGGTAAAAACTTATTCAAGCATAAAAGATCTTATACTTTAATATCTGTGTAATTTTTGAATAAATGAAATAGCTGATCTTTCACACCCCACCTACTATCCAGCAAATATTAGATTCGTATTTTGTTTTGCTCATATGTGAAGTAACAGTAAAACTGTTTCTCCTATGTAGAACTATCACATATAGATTTCATAATTTAGAGAAAAACATTTCATGGCTAGATGAAAAAAATAATGATGATGATATCGATCTTTTGTCTCTATGATGAAATCAACGTTACCTTATTTCCTGCTCTTTCTTTCAATCTGATGAAATATCCGGCAATATGTATATTCATAACATGACAGTAAAATATTGTTAGAGTTAATGGACCGAAGAAAAAAAAAACTAAATGCTTTTTCGAATGCAGGTAGTCCATTCGTTGTATATAAGTGTGAAAGAAAAGCCATAGCAACATATTTTCTTTTATTACTGTCTATATACAACGTGCTCTATCACAACAAAAAGAACAGAAAAGGTAAGTTTGAATTGCTAAATAAATATTTTATGTCAATTATCTCTTATATGATTTTATTAATAAAGTAGTTGAAAAGTGTTTGGCGATCGAAAATGTTAAAATTAAAATTATATTTCGAAGATTTTTCCAATGATATTTTAATGGAAATTTTTGATTATCTATATGGTCAACATATTGTATTGGCATTTTCTCAACTAAAATCTCGATACAATTTACTTTGTGTTTGTTATTCGAACTAACATATCGATGCATCAGATTATTGTACATTTAACAAAAAAAAGAAATTTGATCGTTTATTACATTTGATTGATTCAAAACATATTTGTAGTTTGACATTTACAAGAGAACGATGGATTCAACGTATTTTTACAAAATCTCTTTTTGCTTTATGTTCACTTACATTTTTCAATGTTAACAATTCAATAATAATCAAAGAATTCCTTCAAAAACTTCCTTCACCTCATCATTTACATTATTTATCCCTAAATTTCACTTGGAGTTATGATGCTGATATACAAGATATGATTAGAACTATCTTCAAATTACCTAATTTAAGGCGACTTGAATGGTGGTCATATTGGGTTGAAGAAAGTTTTGGAATAGTTGATGATCCATCATTGTCACTTGAACATTTTTCAATTGATTGTAATGAAAGCTATCATTTTTTACAAATCCTTCCATTTATGCCGAATTTAATCACTTTAAAGTTATCCTATAAATTTGATAGTTTTGATTTAATATCCGTTCAAGCAAACAGTTTATCAAAACTGAAAAGTCTACATGCTTTTATTACTCCCTCCGGACAAATCACCAAAGATCCGAAGGAGATGTGCGAAATTGCAGCTGATTTCTATGAAAATTTCTTTAGAAAATCCGATATGTTAAGACCTCATCCTTATACTGATTCTCCACTGGTGGAATTTGAAAATAAAGATGAACCTATTACCGAAGTAACAATGGAGGAACTAACGATTACTGTTCAAACAAAGCGAAAGAAGAAATCCCTAGATGCTCATGGTATTTCAAACTTTATATTCAATTTCCTTAGTGATGGTCATTGGTCCTTACTGTTAAAACTCTACAATTTTTCATTCCAACATGCGGTTTTACCTACCGCCTGGAAAGATACTCGAATGATCCTATTAGCTAAAAAAGAATCTGTTTGTCCACCATCATCAACTCGTCCTATTTCTCTGCTTGATTCCTTTCAAAAAATAGGAGAAAAACTTTTCCTAACGCGTTTTCGTGACGTACTTGCGCGTAGAGGAATTCTTCCTGACAATCAATCAGGTTTTAGAAATAGTTTCAGATTACAAACACGTTTACTACTTTTTCTGGAAGATATATATAGTTTAATTTCAAATAGTGCACCTGTTTGTACTATTTTTGTTGACTTTCGTGCAGCATTTGACC